TAATAGGGTAAATATGTAATCTATCATTTTAATACATGTATAACTAATACCCACATAACTTATTCCACCTTCTACCCTGCATAACTTTATACATAGATTCCCTCATAAGTTATGTTGGTATTAATTATGTAGGACTACAAAAATGCAACCAAACACCGTATAAATTAATACATGAATAACTTTTATACATCATTTAAATTCTTACCAACCAAACGTGGTATAAGTTATGCTGACTTTTATACCTAATACAAAACTTCTACCAAACACAGTAAATCTAATGCAACTTTTTATACATGAATAAGATGTCTTTTATACAGTAACCAAACGACCCCTAAGAACTTACTAACTATTAATTTGAATTCTCATCAGAAAGTGAAGTACGACTTAATAAAATTGATACAAGAAAATCCCATTTTGCCTATAAAATGCTCCCTACAAAAAGTGATTGTGTTTACAAAGCTCAAACCCGAAACCTTTATGGGTGAGGGGAAAATCAGATAGAAGGAGAGGTGCAATTTTATTGCAAAAGGAAACGTATGTATATAAGTAGTTATAATTATCCTGCACATACTTGAGACCTGAGAAAATTAATTCCATGTACTTTTATCTTACTGTGGAATGTGAATATCTAAACATAGATTACAACACCAGCTACAATAAGAGATCTAAAGTAACTACAAGCTGAACTCCTTTCCAGAGAGAGAGATATTCTTACGGTAGCTGTGCTGTAGAAGCACGAAAAATGGTTTTAGCAGCAATGATCTTTCTCACGAGTCATGAAGCATTACTCTGTCTTCTCTCGAATTCTCTCCTTACAAGATCAAATACCAGCTCATTCCATGTATCAACAGGACCTGGCATGCACCAATGCAAGCAATCTTGTGAAGGGGGTTTACCATCAGGACCTCGTTTTGTGATTTTGTTTGGATCGGGGCTTCTGTAAGGACCAGGATGTCCATCATGGCGATATGCAAAGACTCCTGTGATATCCATAAATAGTAAGGCGGACTTGTTGTTTTTCTTCTTAATTGCATGAGTGTAACCCGAGAATTGCTTTTCGTGCATTATGTTTGTGAAGCCATTTTCAGCCAGCTCACCATCCTCTGCAGGCTTCACCTTTCCAGTACATGATCCTCCCGTGTTCCATGCTCCGCCCTCGTAATGATCAGGTGAAAAGGAACGAACAATGGTAATACCACTGAAATTCGGATGTGTTGCCATGGCAGTCAGGATGGTTTCAACAGAGATTCCAAAAGCTTCAACATTATTGACCTTCATCTTTCTAGACTTGTCTGGCCACCACAGTTGTCCTCCAACAATCTCATTATTCAGAACATAAACAGATTGCTTTGCAAACCAGTGGCCGGAGGAGAGCACAACGACATCAAACTGGGGGATGTATTGCATGAACCCATCATCAGGAACATCAAGGTGGAGCTTAACTACACCTGCTGGAGCGAAATCAAGAGGTCCAGATGTTTGGTTGACAAGCCATGAAGACCAAATGCGAACAATCATAGTAGATGTGGATCTGAAATAGTACCGCTGCATTCTTTTGTTCCCACGATTCTTCGGAACCTCATACTGCCAAAAAGGGAATAACAAGACACAAAAATTAGATGATGAGGCACAATGAACCAACACCTGGCTTTTGATAAATGTACATTGGAAGAGGGACAAAGCATGTATGAAGATCAGTAATTCAATTTAAAATTCCAAGGGCTTCAGGGATAGTAAATATTTAGAAGGGATTTATGGATAATAAACATTTAAAAGGTTTTCATAGATAATAAACATCTACAAGGGCTTCACGGCACAGATTCCAAATGTGAAATAACTAACAGCTGAGTTAGGATAAAGGAACTGCGGTCATCAGCTTATTAAAGAAGAAAAGGAGAAACAAGATACAAGAAAAAGGCAGATATGAAACAATTCTGGAACACTTCACAGTTCACAGGGCACTATAACTCATTACTGGTCAGTATTTAGTGGTTGAAACGCCAATTAAGCTACCACTTAACCAAGAGGATCATATAATTTAAATGAGCAACATCAATGATTCACCAAGAATAAAGTTAGGTCCAGAAATGAAGGGTAAACAGATAGCAGAAAGCATCTATCGAGCACAAATGAATGGTGAATAGATAGCAGAGAGCATCTATTGTTCATGGTTGACATATCCGACCTAGCGAGACCTAAATTATTGAGGGGCAGGTCGCCCTATCTTCTCCATGTCCACCTTGTCAATCTCTTCATCCAACTTCCCACTAGGACCTCCTTTGACCATCCCATTCATTATTTGCCACCAACAACTAAGCCTTTCTTTAACTTCAACGTTTATTTTTTCTCCAGGCTCTATTAGGGCGGAAAGCCGGAAACTATAACTGATAGCCGTATTATTGGATTTGCTACCCTTCTATACCTATTTGTGCTTATATTCACATAAATGTTTGGCAAAAGGTAAAAATGGAAAGTCTATTTAGTCCTTGTTGCAAACATCGTACTAAATGTCATGAACCAAAAGTAGGCACCACTTTTTAATACCAGTTACACAATCCCAAGGTGAAGGTTAATACTTAATTGTATCCAACCTACACTCATCTATGATCCATATAAAACTTTGCAGGTTCTAAACAATAAGTAGAAGAACCCAAATTGAAAAGGAGAATGAAATTACAGTAACTCATGCCAGCTTATAATGCTGAACTGATCAAGTTTCTACCAATGCAGATGTTCATGGAATAAAAGCAAGCTCACATGCTTTTGTTGATACATACTAAATGACAGAGTTGAAGAATCGAGGTTATGACTCTCCTAATAGTATAAAACAAAACTCGGTACATTATAGTTGTACTGCTCAAGTGCTCATCCTATAGGAAAAACTATTGAAGTAAAAAATAGGGAAATATGACTACAACCTAACTTTATTACAGGAGCTGCAAACTTTTAACATATATGAAGCTACACTTAAGTATAAACCAAATAAATCTTTACAGGTTCTAAAAGATAGGTAGAAGAACCCAAATTGAAAAAAGAGAAATAATTTACGATTATTCAATGTCCAGGTTACGCCCACTGAACTGATTAGGTATATACCCAAATTGACTCTCTTAATAGTATAATACAAAAACTCAGTACATTATAGTTGTACCGCTCATCCTATAGGGGGAAACTTTTTGGAGTAAAAATAGGGAAATGAGACTAGAACCTGACCTTGTTTCAGGAGCTGAGAACTTTGGCACATATATTATATAACAATATCGATCCTGTTCTACATTTTTCAACTAATGTAATTTTCATTTTCAAAGTGTGTGCCTTTGTGTCCCTATTCAGGTGTCATTCACATTTCAAGATACTGAAAATTAAAAGACAAGACAAAGTCAAAGGAAATGCTGCAGAAAGTAGAAAAGAGATCAGGATTCAAGGTTGCTAAATAGCTAATCCAAGTCACACTCCAGAATTGCCAAACTACTGTACATCTTTTTTTTATGACAAGGGAGACCCGCAGCTGCTACCCTTTGGGTGCGCACACTCTGCTCCTATGCAATAGCTCACAAACCACACAAGAGAGGTAACCCACACTAGGCAAGCCCCGTGCGACGAGCTCGACCCAGAAGGCAAACCCTTTTCTTTCGCTGCCAAACTACTGTACATTTTGAGGAGCGTAAAGGTACCTGCCAAAGGATACACAGCATTGACTCCATCTGGTTGCGAGCAACTGAGTCACCAATGAAAGCTAAAGTCTTTCCTCTCATTAGTTCCAAAAACTTCTTTGGATCAAATCGTGGCAGTTCACACTGAGCTGGTTTCCATCGCCAGTTCTCATAATCCTTATCAGGCCTTCCATTTCCTTGACAGTTCTGCATCTGTGTCAGGACAGGACAGGAGTCATTTCTGTACAATGGTCCAGACTGATCAGAAATCCATTTTCCATGATATAGATCACATTCTGCAACATTATCAAGGATGTTGAGAGTTTCAGAACAGCATCACAAAGAATTTGGTTTAGCAACTAAGTTAACTTACAGCAAGCAAAGAAGTTGAAGCTAAATACAACTATGAAACAATTTCATTAACTAGAGTAAGCAAATCTCGAGTCTTTCAACAACTCATATTGTCTCAAAAACTATAGGAGGGCCATATTTTATCGGCATATAAGTGGACCATCTCTAACGAAGTATGAATACAAGTGGCTTGCACAAAACTTGCCATCTGTACTATGTATGGTGAAATTCAGCTAATAAACTTGCTTAACAGGTAGTTAGAATGAGATTTCAGTAAGATGGAAACTGAAGACAAGCATTTTGATGTAGTGTGCAGCAAATTATCCATCTCACTTAAGATGCTGCAAATTACATCCCGGGAGAGATGATCACCATTAAACATCAACATCCATTAACTTAGTTTGTCTTCAAGCTATCCTGCATTTGTTTGTTTGCATACATAAGCACAATTTTTTATTTTCAATCGTCAATATCGATTTCATGAACGATTAATATGAATAACAAGAAGAACTAAAAAGCAATTCAAAATCAAAGGAAATAACTACTTGCTTTGATAAACAAGAAAAAAGAAAAGAGCTCATCATCTAGTAAAACAACGAAGATGTGCTACTGCGCAGAGTCTAGCAAGATACAAATAAAACAAAACAAGGGATGAAAATTGAACCTGGATCTAGCTTAGCCTGATTTACGCTATTGGGTCCAGTAGATGAAGATTTTACGTCCTCTGAATGGGTATCAGAAGATGGAAGAGTCCCTTCATTCTTGCTTTCCTTATGCGAACTAACATTGTTACTCTTCTCGTCTTCTTGCTTTGATTCAGGATGTGGTTGAACCACAGAATGATTGGATTCTGACAAAACAGGTATTTGGGTAGAATTTTCAACTAGCTCCCCCTTAGAATCTGGCTCTTTCTTTTCGTCTTGAGATTTGGAAATCTGGTCCTTTTCATCCTCAAGTCCTTTTTCATTGTTTTCCTTCGCCGTCAAATTAAAGTTAGGTGTACCATTAATACCAACATCATCACGTCGAGGATCAGCAAATTTTACCCTATCCCCATCTAATAAATTAGGCCTTGTCAACTGATGAACACCATAAAAATACTCATGGACTGCAGCCCCAATAGGCTGAGAAACCAGAAATGAGGAAGCAAGAATTAAAAACACAGCAAGACCTCCTACTGTAGTTACGATAGACAATAGTGACTTTGGATAGGACAGTGCGGAAGGATCTTTAGATGAAAAAGAAGACATAGCTTCTCAAATGTCTAGCAATTTCTAGAACAACATGGGGTTTTCTAGAACAACTGATGTCACTAGGATATGGCTTCAGAACCACAATCCCCAAACCAAAAGAAACTACAAAATAATTGAATCTTTATCCAATTTTGAAAATGTTGAAGCTCTCAATGCCAGAATAACTACCAATTTCCAGAAAATTGGACCTTCAGATAAACAAATCACTTCCTGAACACCAACTCCACAAATAAGCTGCAGAAAACTGAAAATGCTAAGCATAAGCAGAACAGATTAAAAAATATCAACAAATTGAAGAACCCTATCTAACAAGAAATAACACTTATATATGGATAAGCAAGATCAAATTAGATAAACAAAAATCAAACACTCCCTAATATTATCCGATTTATCAGAAATGAACACATTCAGAACCAAAGAACTAACCTTCAGGGAAACCAAAATCAACCCATTTCATAAAATTCAAAGCTGATGAAAGCACACCCACAAATGAATCTTCAAAATACACCGGGAACTCACAAACAAATCGCCGGCGAGCTCTGCTTACTGTCAAGTTTTTTTTTTTTTT